GAGGGATCATTGGGTCTCCTTGCCTGTGTCCATCTGGTCCCAGCATATTTTCTGGACCTCTTGCCACAGCAAGTTAGCACTCTGCATCTGTTTCTCCCTGAAGGAACTCTGTACAGTACAGCCATCACTTTTGGAGTTTTTCAGTTTAATGTTCAACCTGAGGCTGGGGCTGAGGAAAGGTTGGCACTGTTCTTCTCAGCTCCTGTTGTTTATGAACATTTTTATTGCTCTGAGTGGGAGTAAGTCCTTGTTACCTAGACAGAACGGGCCTGCAGTAGCTCTAGCTCTACAGGTTTTTGAACCCAGAGCCAAACTCTAAAGTTGACTCAGATGTGGGGGGTTGTGCAGTGTTTCCTGGGCATGACTGAGGGGAGGCAGGCAGGTGGACCTGTTGACTGCTTTCAGAGCCTTAAGGGATTTCCTTTTTTCTAAGGAAGGAGGTACTTGCCAGTTAGCAGACCTGGTTCTGCCTGAACAAGGCTTTTCTAGTATAGCACATTAAAATCAATATAATAGGGCTTTCCTCAGAAAACCTTGGTTTTGGTTTGTAGTTCTAGATAATAAACCCAAGGTCTCATTTATGCCAGGCAAGTGCTGTCCACTTAGTTATGCTCCCAGCCCCAGAAAACCTTGTTCTAATTAATATTTTCTGTGATGAAGTACCCGTAAAGACTTACCAATGGCTATAAACCTGCATGGCCAAAAACAAGAACTCACTATTTGTACACCCAAGTTCATGTCACCATAGTCATGTCCATTCACAATAGCCCCAGAGGTAGAGACAATGCCAGTGTCCCTCTACAGATGAAAGAATAAATAAGATGTGTTCTAGTAGATAAAATATCGAGCCTTTAAAAGGAAGGAAATTCTGGGCTGGGTATGGTGGTGCACATCTGTAATTCCATAGCTCCAGAGGCTAACATAGGAGGCTCACGACTTCAAAACCAGCTTGTACTACATAGTAAGACTTTGCCTCCCCCATAACTCCAAGGAAGCAGGCTGCCTCTAGGGCCAGGAAAAAATGGGGAGAGTTTCAGCTTGGGTGGAACCATTCTGGAGGCAGACAGTGACAATGGCTGCACAGCAATATGAAATGTACACTTAAAGTGATTAGAAAGGGGGCTAGGAGCTGGGTGTGGTGGCACACACCTTTAATCCCAGCACTTGGGAGGCAGAGCAGGCAGATCTTTGTGAGCTGGAGGCCAGCCTAGTCTACATAGTGAGTTCCAGGCCAGCTGGGACTACAGGGAGACCCTGTCTCAAAAACACCAAAAAAAAAAAAAAAATGGGAGTGGGGGGCTGGGGAGATGGTTCATTGGATAAAGTGCTTGCTATGCAAGCATGAGGACCTGAGTTCAGACACCAGAACCCACGTAAAGCCGGATACAATAGCAGACACCTGTAATCCCAGCAGTACTACAGTAAGATGGGGAGCAGAGGCAGGAGGATCCCCAGAAGCTCACAAGCCAGCCAGCCTGAGGTACGTAGCAGTGAAGCAACCCGAGACCCTATCTTAAACAGGGTGGAAAATGAAGACTGACACCCCAGGTTGTCCTCTGAACTCTTAACATGTGCTGTAGAATACCCATGCATTCACAAATATTTTTTTAAATGGTTAAAATGGTGTTTATGTATATTTTACCACACAGAAGAATCATAGCATCAAGGTGTTTTTCTCTAGACAATCTTACATGCTATGATTTACATTATAATTCTTTTCACTCAGAAGCATTTTTTTTTCTGTTTTCAGATGTATTTTCTAGGTACAAGAAAGACCAGAGTGGTGTTGACATTTACCAAAACCCACTAAAGCAGACCCCTGGGACATCTCTGGACATTTGTACCATCCCAGGCAAAAATGTCAGCCCAGTGTGACTTTTGGGTTTGTGTACACGGCACAGGAGCCTTTGGTGGAAGCTGTCGAACCCAAAACAGTGGGTTGTTCCAGCTGCCCTTCCGTCATCTGTTAGTAGATTTCCCCCTTTTCTCTTCCTTTCTCTTGGGGCCAAGCCCAAGGCCTTGTGCATACTAGACAACTAGACAAGTGTTCTACCATTGAGCTTCATCCCCAGCCCTTCTTTCTTTTTTTTAAGATTTATTTTTATTTTTAATTATTTGTATGTCTGTGGTTATGTGCACATGAGTGCAGGTGCCTGTGGAAGCCAGAGTATCAAATTCCCTGGAACTGGAGTTACAGAGGTTGTGAGCCTCTCAATATGGGTGCAAGAAACCAATGGTCCTCTACAAGAACAGTACATGCTCTTAACTACTGAGCAGATCATCTCTCCAGCCCCTGCTTGTTTGCCCTTTAGATAGGATCTCCCTGACCTTGAACTTGCTATGTAGTCTAGGTGAACCTTGAACTTATGAACTTACTTTTGCCTTTATCTCTGAAGTGCTGGGATTTCAGACATGGATACCACCAGGAGCTTGTCTCACCCACTTCTTTTATATGTTCCTAAATCAGAACAGCTGCCACTCGGGTGAGACAGCATCAACTCCCCTGAGACTTCTGGCTCTAGAGGCTCATGTGGAGGCAGAAATGTCTACTTTTGAAACTGAAACCTTCTACTTGTCACTCAGAATTTACTGCTGAATTATAATCCCAGGCCTTGTTCTCACCTCTACCAATGATTCCTCCTGGAATTACCTGCTGGGAATTTACTTTTCAAGTTGACCACTTCAAGAATTATTTTTAAACTTAATTTATTTACTCAATATGTATCAGTGTTATGCCCACATGTATGTAAGTGTACCCGTGTTGTGCAGTGCTCGACGAAGCCACAAGAGGGTGTCAGATTCCCTGGAACTGGAGTTACAGTTGTTACCTGCCATGTGAGTACTAGGATTCAAACCCCAGTCTTCTCCAAGAGCAGCCAGTGCTCTTAACCACTGAGCCATCTCTCCAGCCCCTACCTTCAGGAATCTCAAGTCCTGCCTTTAAAATCTCTTCCAGAGATGTAGAGGATCAGGCTTTTTCTTTTTCTTTTCTTTCTTTTTTTTTTTTTTTTGAGATAGGGTCTCCCTGAAACCTCAGCTGACCTGGACCTGCAACTCACTATGTAGACCAGGCTGGCCTCGAACTCACAGAGCTCCCCATGCCTTTGCCTCCCAAGGGCTGGGATTAAAGGCTTGTGCCACCAAGCTTGGCCTTTTTTTTTTTGGTCTTTTTGAGACAGGGTTTCCCTGTAGCCCCAGCTGGCCTGGAACTCACTCTGTAGACCAGGCTGGCCTGGAACTCACAGAGCTTCCCCTGCCTCTGCCTCCCAAGTGCTGGGATTAAAGGCATGTGCCACCATGCCTGCCTTTTTTTTTTAAGATTTATTTTTATGACTGGAGAAATGGTTCAGGGTTTAAGAACACTGGCTGCTCTTTCAGAGGTCTCAGATTTGGTTCTTAGGACTTACATGGTAGCTCACAACTGTCTGTAACTTCAGTTGCAGGGGATCTGACACCCTCTTCTGGCCTTTAAGAGCACGGCATGCATATGGTACACTTATAAACACACAGGAAAAACACGCATACACATTTAAAAAAATAAAACCTTTTTAAATTAATTATTTAGATTTTATTTCTTATTATGTTTGTATGTGGGTGGGTATATGGACATGAATGCAGGTACCTGCAGAGTTGGAGTTACAGGTAGTTGTGAGCCATTAAACTTGGGTGCTAGAAATTGAACTCTGCTCCTCTGCAAGAGTTAGCCAGGTGTGGTGGCACACATCTTTAGTCACAGCACTCAGGAGGCAGAGGCAGGTGGATCTCTGTGAGATCAAGGTCAACCTCCTTTACATAGCAAGTGCCAGGCCATCCGGGGCTATAGGGAGATCCCGTCTCAAAAAGACCCCCGCCCCAAAAGGAGTAGCAAATGCTCTTTTTTTTTTTTAAATTTTTTTCCAAGGCAGGGTCTCCTTGTTAGCCCCAACTGACCTGGAACTTGCTGTGTAGACCAGGTTGGCCTTGAACTCACAGAGATCTGCCTGCCTCTGCCTCCCAAGTGCTGGGATTAAAGGCATGCACCACCAGGCCCAGCGAAAGTGCTCTTAACCTACTGGGCCATCTCTCCAGCCCCTTGTTTTCAGTTTTTATTCATATATATATTTTTGTGTATGTGTGAATGTATGCCACATGTGTGATGATGCCTGTGGAGGCCAGAAGAGGTTGTAAGATCCTCTGGAGCTGGAATTACAGGCCTTTTTGAGCTTCCCAATGTGGTCACTGGGATTTGAACTGAGGTCCTCTGGAAGAGTAGTAAGCATTCTTAACTGCTGAGCCATTCTCCAACCCAAAGCTCAGTCTTTTTTGAAGCATTTCTGGGAATCCTGTTCCTAACTTTTCATTACTTGGAACCCCATGTGGCCTGTTCTGGTAATATATGAGTTTCTGTATAAAGAAGTTATTCTCCAAAGTTAGTAATGACTTCTTAGAACAACTGATTACTTTAAATGGAAGCCTTTCTAGTACTTTCTAGCAAGATAAAGCAAAATCCAAGTCCTTTAAAATGTGAACCTTCTAGCGTGGTGCATGCCTTTAATCCCAGCACTTGGGAGGCAGAGGCAGATGGATCTCTGTGTGTTCAAGGCCAACCTGGTCTACATAGTGAGTTCCAGGACAGCTGGGGCTACAGAGAGACCTGTCCCAAAAAGATTTTTTAAAAAAGTGAACCTTCTGTCAAGCATGGTGGTACATGCCTTTACTCCCAACACTTGGGAGGCAGAGGCGGGTGAATTGGCTGTTCTTACAGAAGACCCAGGTTCGAATCCCAGCACTCACATGGTGACTAACAACTATCTGTAACTCCAGTTCCAGGGGATCAGACACCCTCTTCTGACCTCCAAGGGTATTGCATGACATGGGTGCACTTACATACATGCCCTCAATACATGCATATACATAAAAATAAAGCAAAAAAAAATTAAACTAACTAATTAAATAATAGATTAAATAAACAAAATGTCAACCATTAAATGGATGTGCTAAAATTGTTTTCAATCCTACAGGATGGTAGGCTGGCCAGCAGAAAATTGCCAGAGACAGGACTGGAAGATTTAGCTGCCCTTTGTTCCCCTCTTGGCAGCCCGGGGCCCTCCTCACACACTGGGTACCATGGACTCCCCAGGGTACAACTGCTTTGTGGACAGGGACAAGATGGACACATCCATCCAGGACCTAGGGCCAAAGGAACTGAACTTCACTGAGCTTCAGGAACTGAAGCAGCTAGCACGCCAGGGCTACTGGGCGCAGAGCCACGCCCTGCGGGGGAAAGTGTACCAGCGCCTGATCCGGGACATCCCCTGCCGCACAGTTACACCTGATGCCAGCGTGTACAGTGATATCGTGGGAAAGATTGTGGGCAAGCACAGCAGCAGCAGCCTGCCCCTGCCTGAGTTTGTGGACAACACTCAGGTGCCCACCTACTGCTTGAATGCACGGGGTGAGGGGGCTGTGCGCAAGATTCTCCTTTGTATCGCCAACCAGTTTCCCGACATCTCCTTCTGCCCTGCCCTGCCAGCTGTGGTAGCCCTGCTGTTGCACTACAGCATCGATGAGGCTGAGTGCTTTGAGAAAGCCTGCCGCATCCTGGCCTGCAATGACCCCAGCAAGAAGCTCATTGACCAGAGCTTCCTGGCCTTTGAGTCCTCCTGCATGACATTTGGGGACCTAGTGAACAAGTACTGCCAGGCGGCCCACAAGCTGATGGTGGCTGTGTCAGAGGACGTCCTACAGGTCTACTCTGACTGGCAGCGCTGGCTGTTTGGAGAACTGCCCCTCAACTACTTTGCCCGCGTCTTCGATGTCTTCCTTGTGGAAGGCTACAAGGTGTTGTACCGCGTGGCCTTGGCCATCCTCAAGTTCTTCCACAAGGTGAGAGCAGGGCAGCCCCTCGAGTCAGACAATGTGAAACAGGACATCCGCATGTTTGTTAAGGACATTGCCAAGACAGTGTCTCCTGAGAAACTGCTAGAGAAAGCCTTTGCCATCCGCCTGTTCTCCCGCAAGGAGATCCAACTCTTGCAAATGGCCAATGAGAAAGCACTGAAGCAGAAGGGCATCACTGTCAAGCAGAAGAGGTAGGCGGGCCCCAGGATCGTGTGCGTGTATGCATGTGTGTGTGCATGCATGCGTGTGTGTGCGCATGTGTGTTTATGTGTGTCTGTGCCTGTGTGTGTGTGGCTATGCGTGTATTGTGTGTGTGGAGTGGGGGGCTTTAGTGGAATGCATCCTTGAGGTCTGAGCATGAGCTTGTCCTGCCAGCCCTTGGTCTGTTTCTAGCCTGTTTCTAACATACCCGTCCACATAGAGAGAAAAATAAGAAGCAGCCAGGAAGGGCCTTTATGGTTATGACTATAGCAAGACAGGTTAGGGCCTGTTCTCCTATAGCTAAGAGGGAGACAGGATACTGCCAGGGGGTCAGAAAATGCAGCAGGTAGGCTGGCCCTCTAGGGAGTCCCAGCCCCTGCTCTTTCTCTCTAGCTCCAGGCTTCCTGGCTAGCATTCTCCTGGCTGCCTGTTGTGGCCTCCTTGTTCCTAGGGAGCAGGGTTGGGAAGAGTCATGATGTTTGACACCTGATCCTGTAGGCTGCTGTAGGTGTGGCTGCTGGCATGGAGTTCTCTTTCTCTTGGGTCCACAGGAAGGCATATCTGGGGATCAGTACCCACCACTAACCTCACCTTGTCTGTTTTATTTTTCTTCTCCGTGTCCATTGCTTCCTCCTGTTTCTCAGTGTCTCACTTTCTAAAAGGTAGGTCTGAACACACCTCAGTGCTTGACTTCTCTGCATTTCTTCTGACCAGCCCTGCCTGGCTGCTTGCTGTTTTTCAAGGCCTGGCTGGCTCTTGTGGGCTGGCTTCTGCTTGCTGCTTCAGCCTTATTGACTCAGTCACTATCTATCTGTCTGTCCATCTTTCTACCTCTGTTGTGCAATGTGCTGGTGCTTGGCTGGCAGTGAAGCCTTGTCTTGCCAGAGGCTTATTTCCTTTGTCCTGATTTCTTAGAGAAAAGTTTTTTTCCTCCATACCTTCAGGATGGGTACTCTCCCTTTTAGCAGGTGGGAGGTGGGGCTCCTGGGAATAGCTCCACCGAATTCCCCAACTCATACCTAGAACCAGGTTGCAAACTTGGCTGAGTAGGTGAGATGTTCTTTCAAGGCTAAGTATCAAATTGAAGCTCTGGGGCCTCAAGGTTCAGGTGGGGACCAGGCTGTGGTCTTTGTCAACCTCTGACCCCTCCCTCCTCTCCCCAGGCAGTTTGTACACTTGGCAGTCCATGCAGAGAACTTCCACTCAGAGATTGTCAGTGTGAAGGAGATGAGAGACATCTGGTCCTGGATCCCTGAGCGGTTTGCCCTCTGCCAGCCCCTCTTGCTCTTCTCCTCACTACAGCATGGATACAGCCTGACCAGGTGAGGCTCCAGGACTCTGAGAGGTACACCACCTCCAGGAAATCACAGCCAGAAATGAGCCTTTGAATCTGGGCTCCTGGTGAGGCCCCGCCTAATTCCATAGAGCCTGAGAATTGGGAGCCTCTTTCCTGACTTCTTTCCCATCCCACCCAGACTTTGAAAGTCATTTCTGGATACATCATAGTGCAGAGTCCCATGTAGGCATTGTGAAGACATGAGAGTCAAAGTTCCCACCTGAATTGTTGGGGAGAAGTCACATGGCTCTCTGGACCTGGCCTCTTTGCTTCTGTCACTCACCATGTCAGTCACAAGTCTGGACCAGTTTCCCTTAGTGGGGCTCTGCCTGTGTCAGATCCTGGTATTCTAGCAGGGCACACTGCCCCCTAAAACAGCGTGGCCAGGCCCAGCAGGTGTTCAGCACAACTTTGAGAGAACAGTTCACAGACTTTGGGCCACCACTCAAGGCCCTTGCCTGCAACCATACAAGCATTTTGTCATAGTTGGACTCAATCCTCCCAGCCCCAAGAGTTGCATGAGTACCACAGTGGCAACCGCAGGCTTCCCCACGTCTAGGCTGTGAAGGACACACTGAGCTTCCCTCTGGCAAGGACCTGTTTCTCTGGTTCTTGCTTCCCTATAGCTCCTGGCACTCAGTTCTGCCTGAGGAGCCATCTACTGTGAACCTTCTCCCTCGTCATACGAGGACAGCCGGCCTGACTGAAAAGGCCCAGACAGAGAACTTGGTGATGACATTGCCATGTCCTTAGTCTCTATGGACAGAGATGGTGGGAGAACACAGCTCTCAGGCATCTCTCCTCCAGACCCTGGGCCTGGGGGTTGACAGCACTAGCAGGAGGTATTGAGTAGGGCATTCAGGGTAGCACATGGTCTCTGCCCCCAGGTACTATTTCCAGTGTGAAGGACATGAGCCCACCCTCCTGCTCATCAAGACCACACAGAAGGAGGTGAGGAGTGAGGAGGGACCAGAGGAGCCCAGGTGCCTGGACTCTGATGAGCCCTAGCTCACTGGGTGGGTGCCAAGGTCTGAGTGTGGATATGGTCCCTGTGTGGAACTTGTTCTCATGCCTGAGTGCCTCAGGGGAAGACAAAAATGACCAGAGGGTACACCTGCCTAAACTCAGCCCTCTCACATCCTTTATGCCCTCAATGGTGGGAGAATGCAATGCACAGCACCCCCTAAGCTGTGACTTGGTTCCTCAGCAGATCTGAATAAGGGCATATTCCTGGGGACAGGAAGGCACAGCCTTACCCTGGTCTTTCTCCCCAGGTATGTGGAGCTTACCTGTCAACAGACTGGAGTGAGAGAAATAAATTTGGAGGCAATATGGGCTTCTTTGGAACTGGAGAATGCTTTGTGTTTAGGGTGAGTGGGGCTGAGAGTGGGGTCCCCAGTATAGGTCCAGCACCCATACTGGACCAGGGTCTTGTCTGACCTCATATGGTTACAGAGGCTCAGGAGTCAGCAGGTATTATCTGGGCACCTGGGTTCAGGGAGCTCAGGAGTCAGCAGGTGTTACCTGGGCACCCCAGCACACATGGCCTCATTTAATTTTCATTGTAGCAGTTATCCTAAAAGGGTCATCTCATTTACTTATGGTTAGACCATGAATGCCCCCAAGAACCAACAGGGCCTCATCTGCTAATGTGATATCATCTATCCAGTCCCTCACATAGGGCCTTGCTCACAGCAGATTCATGGAATGGAGATAGGCCATGGCTTTGGTGGAGCAGGAAGGGCCAGTGAAATGCCACATGCCAGAAACTCTTTGAACCCCCTCTTCACTCCCAGCTGCAGCCAGAGGTACAGCGTTATGAGTGGGTGGTCATCAAGCACCCAGAGCTGACTAAACCAACATCCTTCATGTCCTTGGAGACTGCAGCCACTCCCTCCCTCCTCAGCCACTCCATCTCTTCAGACCCTGCTGACCGGCTCTCACCCTTCCTGGCTGCTCGGCACTTCAACCTGCCCTCCAAGACTGAGTCCATGTTCATGGCTGGGGGCAACGACTGCCTCATTATAGGTGGGCACCCCCTCCCTCCACTTCAGCCTGGGTCCTTCCTGTCCTGGGAGGAGGACATGAGGGATTATGAGTAGCTGAAGCCCCTGTATCCAGCCTTTGTTGACTGGTGGTAGATGTTTCACTTAAGCCCTTGTAATGGTAGAGGAAAAAGCCTGAGTTGTTTGGGGGTGGACCAGACACGGAAGATGGAAGAAAAGGACTGGAAAACAGGTATCAACCTGGACAGCCAGGCCCAGTTCAGCTTATAGTTTTAGAGAGATGTTCATAGGCTAAGGACAGATCTCTTTACTGAGATTGCTGTTTAACAGATGTTTCAAGAGCAGTGTCAATGGGGTATCTGGGGAATGGGGTTGCTGTTGGAGTAGGACTGCTGACCTATGCATCCCACAGGGGGAGGAGGTGGCCAGGCACTCTACATTGACGGGGACCTGAACCGGGGCCGCACTGGACACTGTGACACTTTCAATAACCAGCCCCTGTGCTCTGAGAACTTCCTCATCGCTGCCGTGGAAGCCTGGGGCTTTCAAGACCCTGACACCCAGTGATGGGCCTGAGTTGACGGTGACTGAACTACCACTATGGGCTGATGGGACAGAGGCCAGGCTGCCTTTTCAGGGAACAGGGAGTGAGACACCCCCCCCCCCCAATGAGCTGGGAAGGTTTGAAGTTCAGTGGGGATGGATGTCACAGCCCCAAACCTGGCCCTGCTTGGACTGGCTGTCCCCTCTACCATGGACTTGGGCCAGGCCCCTTGAGCCCACCTGCTTCTGGGTTAGAGCTCAAGGAGTTGTGTCCTCAGCCCTATCCAATGTGAGTAGAAGACATCCTCTCCCCCTACCCAGGGCCCTGGCTCTCTTTGGAGGTGTTTTGTGCCCAACACTGGCCAGAGCTACATCTTCCTGCCCCTGGACCTCTCCTTGTGGGAGAGGCAGAGGAATCTTCTTGCCAAATGTGGGTTTGTGGTGCCCCCTGCTGGTGCTTTGAAGTATTGCTCCCCTCCTGATGGACCCTGCATCTCAGACCTCTGACTGGGTCTCTCCTCTACTGGGGACTTCCTCTCCAAAAATTAACCAACTCTGAGGTTCCCCTGGGTTATATTTGCTGCTACGGGGTAGGAGATGGGAAAGTAAGATTTTTGTGGAGTTCTGAAGTGCCCCCTATTTTTTCCAGGGCTATGGGCTGGAAAGCTGGACTTCATTGCAGTTCCACACCAGAAGGTGGCCTCTGGAGGAATTTTCTTTGACCACCTTGACCAGTCAATTCCATTTTCAGAGTCCTGCTCGGAGATGTATGGAATCACTGGGGCTTCTCACCCTCTTCTCTATCCCTGTAGCTTCCTTCAACTTCCTATAGTCTCAGTGACTGCCTGTTTCCCTTCCTCGTCATTGTAGTGGCTGGGTCCAGGCTCACCTGGACTCATAGCATGACATACTTGTCTCAGTCAAGCTTCCTTTCCTTTGCTCAGGCTCTGTGCCACCCCATTCCTGCCCACACAGCACCAGTACGAACCAGTATGACCTCCTTCTGACCCCTCTGTTGGCACTATGGCTGGCCACATGCCATGTTATTCTGTATGCTACTCCTCCCATGTGGATACCTGTGCTTCCTGATCCCTGCACTGGCCTGGTGCACAGTAGGTGCCAAAAGAAGAGCTGCCCCTGAAGACTGCAAGGAGCTCCACCTTCCCAAGACATTATCTCCCCTCCCACCCTGTGACCTCCCTCAGCTGGTCCTGAGGGTTTAGGTACACAGAAGGAGAGGAGAATCAGTGACCCAAGTGGCCATGCTGGAGCCATAAAAGCCTGGATGGTAGGAACAGGTGCCTTGTCCCTGCATGACTATGTCTGGTATGCCTCAGAGTCACCATGTGCCATGCCAATGCCTATCTGCACCTTGCACCTGATGCTTGTTCTTCCTGTGGGAGGCTCATCCTCCCCTACCCATCTATTCACATCACGTCTCAGCAGGGCCACAGTGACACAGAAGGCAAGACAGGAACCCTATGCCACTTTGGGCAGGCTGATAAACCTGCCTGGAGCTCAAGTTGCCCCCCCATGCAGTGGACTAGTCCTCCTGCCATGCTGTCTTCCAGGATAGGAGTCATTGTGAGTCTCTCTGGAGGGGAGTGGTATTGAGAGGAGCTATTGTTGCTCACCCCACAAACTCAGCAGCCCTTGCCATCCATTTCCTCTGAGCTCATAGCCCAGAGCTCATGTCTGTACCTCCAACTTTGTTGCTCATTAAACACCATCTTGGTTTTTTTGTTTCTCCTGGTGACAAGATCTTGCTATGTAGCCTAGGCTGGTCTAGAACTACCTATGTATCCCAGGCTAGCCTGGAAATCACTGCATAGCCCAGGTTAGCCTCAAAATTATGAGCCTGCCTTATTCTGACTGCTGGGATTATAGGCATTAGGCCTAGCTTAACACAGTCCTGTTGCGTTAACTGCAGGGCTCCAAGTCTAGTCTACAGCTGGAAGGCCTCCAGGACTTCTCTGGACTATGCCATCATGAGGCTTACCCTTGCATTGCCACTGGGACTTAGAAGATCTTTCAGAAGCAGATGAAGTTAAACTGAGTATTGTGTGTAGGGCTATGCAAGATTCCTGAGCAGATGGTGGATTTCTTGGCACTCAAGTACAGCTGGTTCTGTGTAGCAACTCAAAGGTCCCCACTCTGGTCTTTCTGGGGGTCCAGCCCAGGAAGACTGATTGCTGCTTAGTCATGAGTGCATTATAAGCAAAGTTTTTGCATTGTGCCCACAAAATACTCAGTTCTTTAAATTTATATTTCCCCTTTCCAGACTTTTCTACCAAAAAGTATGTGTGATTATCATTTCTTATTCTTTATCTTTTTAATCTTTTTTCCAGACAGGGTTTCACTATAGCCCTGGCTGGCCTGGAACTTGGTATGGAGACCAACATTGGCCTCCAAAGGTCTGCCAGACTCTGCCTCCCAAGAGCTGGGATTAAAGGTGTGTGCCACCACCACTATACTGAGCCTTATCACTGTCCTTATCTGATATTATGTGCTCCCACTTAGTATTTATTTTATTATTCATGTGTTTTATTATTTATTAGCTTTTAATGTTAAAAAAGTCAAAATTTGATGGCATTGTATAACAGGTTATATTTTAGACACATTTTAACATTTGTTTTTAAAACAAATATTGAACCTACTTAAGACAGTTCATTAAATAGATGTGTTAATGTAAACCATATGCCTCTGGGGCTGAAGAAAATCAGTTTGAACTTTGGGTTTGTTTGGTTTGTTCGAGACATAGTTGTCATATAGTTAAGGCTAGTCTTGAACTTACTGTGTAGCTGAATCTGGCGTTAAACTCCTGATCTTCCTGGCCCCACCTCCAAAATGCCAGGATTATGGTATGTGCCACCATGCCTGGCAAAAAACACTTTATTTTAAAAATAATTTATGATACAAAAGTAGATGTGTGTATTTTAGTTTTAATCATTGAACTAAAATTTTTCCTTTTTTTTTTTTATTTGTCTTTTTTGAGACAGGATCTCCTTGTAGCCCCAGCTGTCCTAGAACTCCCAAAGATCCGCCTGCCTCTGCCTCCCAAGTGCTGGGATTAAAGGCATGCACCACCACACCCGGCCCTAAATTTTTTCCTATTTTTATAAGCCTTACTGCTTTTATTTTCCCAGTTTTTCAGGGAAATTTGTTTTTTAGAACATTTTGGATTTCAGAAGATCTTCAAATGTCTTGTGCCCTTTTCCTGAAGCCATAGGATTTTCTGTATCTTATATTTTATAATTTAGTTTTTGTATCATTTTCTTTTTTGAGGTGCTGAGGGTTGAACCTAGGGCCTCATGCATACTGTGTGAGTGCTCTACCACTGAGCTGTGTCCATAGCCCTACATTTCTATTTTGAACTAATTTTAAATTTGCATTAAAGTTGTTGAGATGGCATTTTGCTCAGACCCTCACCCACCTGTCCAAAGTTAACATCAAAACAAAGTAATTAGCATTGGTATAAGCAGCTCACTAAAGCACAGACCCTATCCAGATTGGCCTTGCTTTTCTAGTATACAGAAATACATGTAGTTTTTACAGATATTTACTCTCACATTTTCACTAAATCTAGAAAGATGTCACTCAAAAGACTAATTTTTTAAGCCTCTTTTTAGGTGGTCATTCTATTTAACAACTCCCTCTAACATAGGTCCTCAGTAGCTCTCTTCCTCAGCCTATAGTCAGGTATGTGTGAAGTCATGTCAAGAAAGAGTGCCAAGCAGAACCCACCATTCCTTCCCCTAGTCTGTCAGGCCAGAAAGCATGTGATGTGTAGAAATAATCTGGCACAAAGAGTTTTTGTAGCTGGATCTGGTGTTTGTCTTTGATACTAGAATTTGGGAAGTAGAAGCAGGAAGATCAGGAACCTAAAGTCTTCCTTAGCTGCATACCAAGTTCAAGGCCAGCTGGGGCTGTAAGAAACCCTGCCTTAAAAACAAAAACAAAAAAACTTTGTGATTTCCTTCATTGCAACCCTGTCTGATTGTACTGCTGATGTTAGGTGCAATGCTGTGTGATACATTGCTACAGACAAAATTACTCTTATTTGCAGGCTCAGTCATTTTATTAAACCACATGGAATTTGTCAACACTATGTTTGGGACTAAGGAAGCAGGCAGTGGTAACACATGGCCATGTGGCCACATTGACCTGTGACATGGCAGAAACCACAAAACAAAACCTTTCACTGCAGACCACCATATCCACTGGTGTTACCTGTCTGCTCTACAGTTACTGCCCAGCTTTTTTCCTCTGAAAAGACCAGAGCGCCTCTGCTCTGCATTGCATCATTTGACTGTTGAAGGACATGTGGTCAGAAACTTATAGGCTAAAGACAAGACCAAAGGGGAACAAGTCTCAAGCATTATTTTACCTTTGATCTTGTGGCCATGACAAGGAGTCACCAATTAGGAGTCATGGTGCATCTGTAATCTCAGCACCATGAGGCTGTGGCAGGAAGATTAGTGAGTTTTAGGATATACTGGGCTACATAGTAAGACCCTGTCTTTTTTTAAAAAAAAAAAGGAGGCAGATCTCTGTGAGTTCAAGTCCAGCCTGGTCTACATAGTGAGTTCCAGGCCAGCTGGGGCTACAGGGAGACCCCGTCTCAAAAAGACAAAAAAGAAAAAAAGTGTGGTTGCTAGACTGACCTTGTGGGGCATCTGAATGAGTGTAATAAACATAGGCTCATGCTTGCAGAGCAAATGTATGGATTTGCAGCAAAATCCTGTTTTGTAAATGTGAAAATAAGTGACTTAGTGTTGTTTGGTTGATGTTGAGTCCTAAATAAAATTAATGAACCTGATGAACAGCCATCTTTGTACATATGTGCCATGAGATAGTACAGGGTGGGAACCCCCTAGCACCTTTCTCCCAGAACATGCTATCTCTTGAAGAGAAGAGGGCTCTAGACTAAGGATTATTGCACCCTTCAAGTGGATCTAAAGCCTGCACCAGCCAATCACTGCCACAACGAAGAGGCTCTTTCCACAGACAGGTACATCCTCTGCTGCATTTGAGACTACTGGCCACAGTAACTGCCTGCTCACTGATCTTGTTTTCTGTCTGTTGGTTTTCAGGGGCTTGTCATGTGAATGTGCTCAGTAAATGTTTGAAGAATGGAGAAGAGCAGCTGTCAGGAATCATCAGATGTCTCAAGAATCACCTGGGTCCCTGTCATGTGTAAAACCCAATGTCAAAAAGAAAATTCATATTTCTCATTCAAAATGACAATATTTTATGTGGAAGTTTACATGTTAATATTAATGTCTTTCCTAGTGCCTTGTATTTTGTTTCTTACAGCTTGCAGTACTGGGGATTTGGGGTCTTGCACGTACCACAGAACTATGTATCTAAACCTTTTGTTAACTTTTTTTATTTGAGACAGGGTATCAGTCACTAAGTTACCCAGGCTGGTCCTCAGCTCAGTCTGTATGTAGCCCAGGCAGGCCTTGAACTTATGATCATCCTGCCTCAGCCTCCCAGATTACAGGCCTAAACCATCAGGCCCAGCAGAACATTTTTCTTCAGGCCCTGCACAGATGCCCACTGCCCTGTCCAGTTACTCCCTGTGAGCCTTCCAGGTACTGTGTCACCCCGTCTTGCTTGCAGCCCCTCTGGGACCCTGCTTGCCCCTCCATGGAATAGTTGCTGCCTACTTCTTCCCTAGTTCACTTCCCCAGCTTGGCCACAAGCTGGGCCTGTAATCTGTTCCTTAATTGCTTGGAAAAATGTTCTTACTTTATAGCCCTGGCTGGCCTGAACTTGCTGTGTAGACCAGCCTCACAGATCAGCCTGCTTCTGCCTCCTGAGTGCTGGGATTAAAGTTTATGCCATTACCCTGACCTCCATCTAACTCAGGGGCTTTCCTGCTGCATCTCAAGTGATTGCTGAGGATGGGGAGGTCTAGCCCAGTTTGGGAAGGTCTTGTTTTCTGGGCCAGCTGGGGCTTGATCTGCAACTACTACAGCACAGTCATAGTGAGCTCTGGCACCAGCTTTTTTGCAGTTCATCTGATGACTCCAGATCCTCTGTTTCTGGGCTTTTGTATGTGCTGTTGATAACCCCTAGAGCACCCTTCCTGGGATACTTGAACCCCACTGAGGTTGGGATTTTATGAAACTTTGTAGTTCCTAAGACAACTCTGTTGCTTTTTAATCCATCTGTAGACTGTTGCCCCTTTGTTGGCCTGGAGTACTCAAAACCGAAGAAGAAAACAGCCACAGGGCTGCTGTTGTGTTGCAAGGCCATTCTCAAGATTAGTCCTGCATTCCCAGCATTCCCCAAAGTAGCACTGCTTCATGAAACTTCCTGGGGAGATGTGAAGGAGCATCTACTCACCTCAGATAGTGGACCAACAACAAACCAAAGTAAGGCTACCACCAAAATCCACCTTGGTGAACCAGTGAGTTTTATTGGGGTTACTTACAGGCGTATAGGTGAATGGTTACTTAAAGGAGCAGAAATGACTCAAAAGACAGCTGTGTTACCAAAGCCCACCCCAGCATGGGTAACAGCTCAGAAAAGCAGGAAACCTGGAACACACTGCACCACCTACAGGCAGCTCAATAGTTTGGAGTGTGTCCTTTCTAGGCAGCTCAGTCAGTCTAAGCCTCTTGGGCAGTGTGGCTGATATGAGTGTCTCCCAGCACTTCTTAGGGCTTATATGTGCTTGGGGAGGGAGGGACCTAGTAGATCTAATGAATTTCAGGGACTTCCTGGAAGCTACTGAGT